GGCCGAGCCCCGGGAGGGGTGCCCGGGGAGGTGTCGCCTGAGGGGGAAGCGCTGGCATCGGGGCCCGGGCCGGGCCGCGCACGCCCCCCGCCTCCCCCCCGCGCTCCCGAGGCCTTCACCGCGGAGGAGCCGCCGAGGAGTCGCGAGGGGGCGGCAGGTCTGGAGCACAGGCCGCGCTTCCATAGGCACAGCCGTGCAGGCAGTGTTCCGCGGGGAGAAACTGGGTAGCCCTGAAGGGGAAAGTGCCACCTGCTTGCACAGGGAGAGTGATGACCGACAGAGACCACATCCAGGCTTCATTTGCCTTAAGAACCAGTAAGGGTACCTCCACTGATCTTGTTTGCGCATAAAAATAAAACCATGCCTGAACCTCCGCATATCTACGTACCATTTACGAAACCTATTCTTTTTGAGTTCTCTGTAACAATGAATGAGTCATTATCCTTTCTATAGGAGAAAACCGTAGACAATGATAGTCAACAAACTCTGTTGCTTGCAAAGATTTTTTTCTATGTGTGTGATTTATGTGTTGAGTGGATGTTTGCTGTGTTGAAGCAACATTCTGTCAAATTGCAATGTAATTAGAGTCTTTAATAGTGTGTTGCAACAGCAACCAACTTTTGTCATATTATGTACTTTGAGATTTCAACTCCGGGAACTATACGTGAGCCTGGGCCATTCTTTCAGGACTTCTCAACCTATAATAAGCATATGCTTTGCACTTTTTTTAATAGATGTAATTAAGAAAGACTCCCCCAGAAAGAGAACAAATGAAAAGGCTTCATATTTACTTCACTTACTGTCCAGCTATTCTAAGAATTGTGACACAGTTGTTTCCAAAATCAGTTTGGTGCATACTGGTGGGATTTTTCTGTAGAGAACAGTTGTCTGTTTCTCTAGTTTTCTCAGCAGTATGGTACTGTGATTATAAGCAATTTACCTAGTGGGTAGCAAAGAAAATMATCTGAAAATATGTTCATGCATGTTATTTTTACGATCAAGTGCCTCATTCTAAGCTTTAAATGCAGAGCTTGATTGCCGGACCTTGAAAGCTGTATCTTACAGAAGAGCACTGCTATGAACTCATTTGGCCTCTAGATACTATGATGTGTTCTTGCCAAGTCTTCTGCCTTTGCCTGCAATTGTTTGTCATCCGTGGTCATACTATTTCACTTGCTGGCATGTTATTTCTGGATGTTCTGACCCTGGCTCTGTGTGTGTTGATTCGCTCGACTTCATGTGTGCATCACGTCATGGGACACAACAGCCGTATCGCTGCACAGCGTCTGTGCATGAGGGTGTCTCTTTTTATACCATGGGAAGCCCAGGATAGAAGTGTAGGGGGCATTGCTTTTGGATTTGAAATGTCAACCCATATGGTGGCGTAACTGTTACAGAAATATTTTGACAATATATTTGGAAGAGATGTGTTCAACAGGCCTGCTTTTTTTTTCTTTTTTTTTTCTTTTTTTTTTTTTTCTTCCCTCAGGTTGTGAAGTCACAGTTTATTTTGTGACTAGTAAAACCTTAATGTTTTGGACCAAAAACTAGAGTTTTGCCTCTTGAAACTGCTGTTCATCAGTGTGATCCTAAGTAGATGTGTGAGTTTTCAGAGAACTGAGGCTTCCTAGGTTGAAAGAAGAATRCTTCAGTAGTATGAAACAGATATTTAATATGGAAGTATGTACCATGAGAATTGGATTTCTTAGATGTAACTCTCATCCTTGCATGTAATTTCTTCCTTCTTTCAACATTACAGTAATCTCCATAAACGTTCTTTTTCAGTGCTGGTAATTACAGGCTTCTTTCAAGCTGAGTTAACCCAATAAGTTAGCAAATGACTCAATAAATTTGCAGAAAGTATGCGGAAAAAAAGACAGCAGTACTTTGTGAATTGTTGTTGTTATTCTTTTATTTTTAGATTGACCTGTTTAGAAGATTGAGTTTTCAGTTGTTACTCTTCAAAAGAATAGGACGTTTTATTTGCAGTGTGAAACTAGTATCACTTTGAGGGGTGATTTATTTCCCTCTATTCCTCTGCTCTCCTCTTTTTCTTTTCTTTTTGTCTTTTTTTCTCCTCTGTAGACTTAAAGTCCCTCAGAACTGCAAACTTCTGGTGAGAGTATGTTGGAGGAGGTGGGATAGTGACTTGTAGCAATACGTTTTTCTTGTTTGGGCCATATAATGATATTGGATGCTTTGTTTAGTTGTCCTTACCTTTGTATGGGACAATTTTTTATAATTACTTTAACGTAGACTACACTCATTGTGGTTTATCTCAACCCTTAAGTTCTGAAGCAGTCCTGTACTGGTGACTTAAATCATCACATTCATTTCAGACTCTTAAAACTCTGACTGTTAAAGGTTAATGGCTTTTACACTGTCTTTTCAAAGTATTGAGGTACTCATATGCATAAGTGAAGCAGCCTAATTATGTCAAACCTGTGTGTGCAGAGTTGAGTACTGACGTGTTGATTATCAGAGTGCAGTGCTTAAAGCATAGCATCTTTTTCTCATGGTTTGKRATAGTGGCTGCCGCARTGCCTTTTTCTTAAAGCATTTTTTCACTGCTCTGTGTGAAGGGACTAATCTACTCCATGTGTAGATGTTTCAAAGTAATAGGCAGGATCTGTTCTCTATTCTGTCAACTGAAAGAAAAATGATTCTCACTGTAACAAATAATGTGTCATTACAACTGTAATTTTGATCCATTCATAAATGACCTTGACATTGGTAGCTGTTATACTGAGATAAATTCAGTCCCTGTGGGCTAGTTAAGGTGTTTTTGCACTGAAGAGGAGGTATAGCAGCTTACGTCACTCCACACTACATATTTGATAGCATTGTTTCTTTTTGGGGACAAGTGATCTGTAATCTCATAAAAGAAATGTGGATGGSGATACACTTTGGGAGGTGCACATATACAAGCCCTTGGAGAAAGAAGATAAARATATGTCAGGAAGAGTTTCAGGAGGATAGGGGAGGAAAGCCTGCAATATTAAAGGTCTGACAACTTATTTAGTACCTGGAAAAGTCAATAGGATTGTTCTTTCTTTTTGAACTTAACAGATTGATATGCTTTGCTAGAATCATGGTCACAACTGTATGATAAAATAATGCATTTTCTTCATGCCTTCATAAGTAAAAATAAAGTTAGATACTCTCTGATATTTTAAAATCATACAGGAATATGTGGAGAGAAACCTAGTAGTATGTGCCACATCTGAATGTTTCATTAAATAGGAAGAATAATTTGAAGAATAATTAAGAAACAGAAGTGCTCTGAACAATGTATAGTGTATGTATGGCTATRTGATACACAGTATGCATCCCATTAGAGAACCTGAGTAATAAGTTAATAAGATTGTTAGTCCGTTTTCCATCATACCAAGTAACACCTTCAGTGTTTTATTCAGTTCCTAATTTATATGACTTTTACAAATGTGTGTTTTTATATTTTTTTTCTAGTTATTCTGTATCATTATGAGAACATTGATTGTCTATCATTTTGTGTTCTGTAGATCAGAGTTGGGATGGGAAGAAAGATATAGCAGCAAAAATCCAGATTTTACCAGCTTCTTTTGTGGGGCAGGCGGAAGCAGCTTATCTTATG